TTCATACAATGCGTCAGCAGATCAATGTCAAAATAGTCGATATCTGTCAGTTGATATCGCGTCGGGCCGATGCAAATGTCCTGCTCGTACATTTTGGAATGGAACATTCTGTTTAAATCAAAGATTTACTGGTGATACTTGTCAAGCGAACGACTGGTGTCGAAATGATTTGAGTATCAGTTGCGTATCATCAACATGTCTAGGTAAAGTATGTCTTTCATCGAAAACCGTTCGACAGAAATTTTTGTTTTCAATAGTCATTCCAACCACGACCACGACAACTTCAACAACTACACTCGTTGCGAGTATGCTAATCCGATTTTGACATCGATATCTTACGAGAGAAAATTCCTCTTTTAGCATGTACAACTCTGATTACATTTGATGACATTCCCGGTCAATCAAGTACATCAGGTATCATCCCTAATGGTTATAAGAATCTGAATTGGACGAACGCTGATTATATAAATGCATCAACAACTCCAATTGGAAGTGGATATCGCACTGCTCTTGGTAGTCAAGCTTTTCTCATGTATAACGCAAATGGATTTAACTTCACAATTTCATCAGCAAATGGAACTCGGTTTTCTTTTGATTCTTTTCTTTATAACAGCGCTTGGTACGATTTTCTCAGTTTTGACTTTTCGACCCGGCGTGCTGGTCAAGTGACGTCTGGCAACATTTTCACAGCAGCACGTACATACAGATCACGAGTGTATTGTAATTTTTGCACAAATGTGGATACATTGGTATTTAACATAAAAAACGGATCAATGACTACTAATCAAACGCAGAATGGAACTCAGTTGATACTTGCCAATCTGTGCATCTCTTTTGGACGTTAAATTAAATATCGTCATTTTGCACGATATTCCTCTATAGTTTCTATTGACATCAGCACAAAAATTTATATTTTTCATTTTCTTTTTCCTTTTCTTTTATTAAAAAGAAAACACATACACTCACATTAAACGCTCAAATAAATGATTACGACAGTCACCAGACGCTATATGTTTTTGGAAAACCTTCAATGCCTATCATATTGCCAAAGAAACAGAAAGAAATAGGGCAAAAGAGTTAGGGATGAGAAAAGGAAACAAATTTCTGAAAAGACTGAAAGAGAAGGCACGACATTCTCTGATGGATTGGAGTGAATTTGATGCAATGCAAACTTGCCAGAGAGACTTCTTCATCTCTGACTGTGTCCGAATAAATGAATTTATATACAAATACTTTATGAAGAAATGACGGTTAACGCGTTGACTCTATCGAGCAACTCTCTATGCGGGTGTTCACGTATTCCTCTCTTGTTGTTGTTATCCTCCTTTACATGTAACAGCACCTCATGTTGTAATTCCACTTCGTTCTGATTTCTCTTTTCTTCTCTCTTTTCTTCTTGTCTTCTTTTGTACATGATATATGTGAACCTTAAAGGCGCAATAAATGTGAATGAAAAAAACGTTCAAATAAATGAATGAATTTTTACGAGTTGTTTTCAGTTGCTACTAAGTCTTGTTTTTAAATTCTACTATGCTTTGAAGGTACTATTCCAAAGAACTTCTTCTCATTTTGATGTACTGTAGTTTCCAAAAGAAACTACAAATCACATATCATCCATGCACCATATTGCCACGCTATAGGAAGAATCTCATTCGTTGATATATCCTCGATATATCTGCACTGCTCGTGTCTGTAGGCATGCCAATACTTTGTATGACTGTATTTGGTTTAATGACGATCTGTAACATTCGTCGGTCAGACGATCGAGTGTAGCCATAGGAGTTGCTATGATTTGGAGTCATACGGCTCATCAAATAATATTTGTATCTATGCAGCAACAATCAAGAGTGAAACAAAGAAGGAGAACAGACCGACAACTTCTGAAATTACTTTTCATTCCGATTCTACTTTTTACTTTGTTTATACTCTTCAACTAAATCTCTTCACATTGTTAGTTGCGTTGATTCAAATCGACAGACAAACATAAAATCATCATTGGTAACCTCAGATAATCGTATTCAATAGATGTAAAGATATAATTCAGAATACTGAACACAGTCCGATCGATGTCGTTTGCCGGAAACCAGAAAACGGTAACTTTTGTATTCTTTTGTGTTGCTGAAAACTATTATTGATCCGCACTGTTCTCGACCTGGATCTACGACGATCCCGCTAGAACCATTGTAGAGGAGAGTCCAACTCTTACCAAGAGTAAGATTTCCTCCTGTCAAATTACTTCCTTCTAACGAGACAACGGTCGGATCGCGTTCACTATAATCATTTGCTGTACAGATCGTCAGTCCATTGACTAATGTTGGACCACTAGCTAATTCGAAATAGAAACCCGTATGCAGTCCACAGCCATGGTCATTGTCATATTTAGCTCCTTCTTCACATGCCCCAAAGCTAAGATATTTAGTAGATAGAGTATCGTCACATACTTGTTCTGGAGATTCCGTTGCTATATATTGGCCACTAGCCCTGCCAGGTGTTGCCGCGTTGCTGTTACCGCCCACATATGTATCGTATACACTATTGACGCTCCCATTAGCAGCAATCAATAGTATTCGATCTAGAGAGAAACATGATGATACGCATTTGAGTGATGTTCTCAAGACTGATAAAACGTCTTGCCTAGTGAAGAATCTGTACTTGGAGACTGCGTTTTTCTGATCCCCGTTGTGGATGGATGGGTTTTGGTCGTTTTCAAAAACACTATTGAGACCATGATGCTAGAGATGACCACTAAAGCAATTATAACCAAGGATATCACAAACAGTATATCTCGTTTTGGAGGCTGAGTATCTCTAAAAAAAAGGAAGTATAGAGGTTTAAACGTTCATGGTTTGGTACTATTTTATATAGTTGCTCCTACGAGGCATTCTCTTCTTCTTCGTTGATTGTTTTCTCGCTCAGCCCAGGCTCATTTGTATCAGACTGAAATACAAGATCAATTCAGTTCGGTTGATATTACATTGATCGAAATGTTACATGATGAACTTCGACGATGATCTGATCAGCGGATATGATGTTGTTCATATTCATATATGATGCGAATCTGAAAAACAATTACACTAGAAGTATAGGATGACAGTCTACGGAGTAAAATCACAATTGTGCGATTGAACAAATGAAATTGAGAAAAGAATGTGAATAAGCTATTCATTGCCATCGTTGTTAGGAGACATATGTTGATATAAAGAAAGTGCTTTCTAGACTAAAAATATATTGAAAATAAGACTCAATGATTGATAATACTCATATAAATGTGTAGAAGAGAAACTGTTTACTACTTCTTTGAGAGTACATCATGACTATACTCTTTAAATGTTAAGGTTAATGAAAAAGTATTACTTTTTGTTTTTCTATGTGGGTGTTTCCATGGGGTTTCTACCACCGTTACATGAAGTATTTCCTTTCAACGTGAAAATTTCAGGGTTTGTAGAGCTCAATGAGGCAATCATTTTGACCGATTTAGATTTTGCAAAATA